CTGCACAAGGATCATGATAAGATTGTTAAGGGGGGGGGGGCTACACCTGAAGGCTATCTCGCTTATTATTGGACTGAATCTTACCAAATTCCACACATATAACAATCATAGTAAGGAGTCTTGAAAACCGCAATCAAATTTGAGAAAAAAGTTTCGTTTCCATGGATACGGTGGCCATATTGGATTTTGTTGACATATTATACGTAATGAATACCGCACAACCTGCTCATGGAAATTGATTGGGGTTTTTTTGCATACATGTTAACAAACAATAGATCAAAAAATTTGTCTGTTGTTGTTTTTTTTCCTAAACGAATTTTAAAGAATTTAAGGATTTTTTTTTCTGATGTACCATTCAAGTTTGCAAAAAATCCGTGAAAAATAACACTCAAGACACCACCACACCACCAACAAAAAATTATTCCGAATATAAAAAATTCAACAGACTATTTTTTTAATTACATCTCTTTTTTTCAGTGAAAATTCCATGAAAATTGGAAGAAAAATGGTGGAGTTATTCAAAAAAGTATAGAGAAAAGTCGCGTTTTGAGAAAACGGCCTGTAAAGAAAAATGAAATATTGACTTTATGAGGAAATGGTGGTGATAAACATGCCCGGTATGGGAAAAAATGCTGTTTTGGGGGTTCTTATGCGGTGAAATAATTGTAGGAGAGGCTGAGGAACCTAAAAATGCCTACAACTCAAATTCCATAATTTTGAGCTGAATCGGGGCTTTGGGGGTGTAGTCCCCACCCCACCCCCCCTCCCTTAAATGATTTGCTGTCTTTATAGGTGTGTGTTTATATTACGTACCCAAAGTGCTTCATATCATATTATGTTCAATACACGCTGATCATTTTATATTTACATTTGAAGATAATGAATTCCCGAAGGAAGGTTAAATTCACTCGCTGGTTTAATTGTAGCACTTCTATAATAACAATACAATACGAAAGGCTAATTGAATGTTATAAGAGACATTGGGCTAGGGAGTTTTGTTTTCCGACCTCTCTGCGCTATGCAAATGTTTAAGTGAGTACTGGGTAAGCTATGCGCAATTTGGGGGTCGAGGGGGTGGCGGGTTGCTGCTGAATCGTCATTCTAACGGCTAAAAAGGGCGAAATGGTATAGTAGCGTTTAACGCCTACAATAATCTCTGACTGGAAGGCAAAATTAAACATTGTGGAGTTCAAAGTGAAACTCTGCGTTCAAGTAAATTAAGAAAGTATCTGTATTGAAATGAAGAAAAAAATTATGGTCAGCCGACAGAAACATGTATACTAGGCGTGTACGTGTACAGAGCTGCTGTCCGGAGAACAATTGTTTCAAGTGTGTTTCACAAGCACGGTCGACGCATTCCCAACAAGAGCTGTTAAAGTACTTTTAAAAAGGTACTTAGGTACAAATGTAAGTACAATCTAAAATATGTACTTTAGTACAGTAAAAGTACTTTCCTATAAAATTGACTTGAGTAAAAGTACTTTTTAAAAAGTACTTATGAGTACATTTTGATTACTTTCTGCTAATATGCTAAAACACTTCAGTGCTAATGCAAAATATCATATTGAATAACATATCCAGTATATTTGACAAATTAGGCCATTAATTACTAAAAATGTAAACAGTATACAAAGCATTTGAATATACGCACTGAACGTAGGTGGAAACGGTCCGTAAAATTGAAAAAACAAACAAACAAACAAACAGACGCAACTGGTGAATGCGTAATATTATGAATAGAACTTGTTTGAGCAAGACAATATGATCAAATGTAAGTCAGTCCAAGAGGTCGGAAAGTTGGAAAAGTATCCAAATTGGAAAATGTAGAGACAAAGTTGCTCTTAAGAAAACATAAAATTAATTGATGAAAACGGCCAGCAAAGAAATGGAAAAGTGCATTGAATTCTTCATTAACAAATTCTCAAGGAATCATGGTAGCCTTAAGCGTAAACCAAAAAATTTAGAAAATTTTTTTTTTTAAATTTAGGTAGCCTAAAAAATTGTTAGATAAACATTGAGAACTTAGTTTCAGTTTCAGTTGATTATAATAGTGGTAAGACAAATTTTGGTCACACTGTGTAGTCCACAGTGCCCACGGCAAACCAAAATACATGTACATGTAGTTTCCTAGGGTCTAGTAAGAGTAATGTAACCGAAGATTATCTACTACAGTAGTCTCCGCCTAAGATCCCAGTAATCGGGAGCAAGGGAAGTACGGGATCTTAGCCGACGAAGCCAAGGAAGAATCTACAGTGACCCATGAACTGACGTGACCCCTGGTGGGTTTATGACATATGATGGCGAGCAAGGAGTGTTCAACCTTTTAGCCTTCCATCTCTGAGTCTGATTGAGTCCCTCCGCCTTTGTCGTTTCTGCACTATTAGGTAGTGACCACACCAATTAAAATTCAGGTTGTCTCGCAAATTCGGGAAAAGAGAAAAACTGTCTTCAATGGTCAGGGAAGAGTTCACAGTTCGATGTGATCCTACCAGGACTGAACTTGTAGGCCCAACCCACCCAGCGAGTGATGTAAGTTTAGGTGGCGAGCTCAGATGCGAGGGCTATGTTTGGGGAAAAGAAACACATCGGTCAGTTCACATCTCGGTGTGATCCCGTCAGGGGCAAACATTGTACCGTTTCATGGAGTTTTACAACGCTTGTGATCGCATTCACGAGAGTGGCTGATCTTTGACCCGATGATCCGTTCTTTGATCTCAACTTTTAACTCTTGGTCGATCGGCTGTACCCGTACGGGTGTTGGTTTCGTAAATTATGATCAGAAATGCCGGCACTTACACTTTCATCAAGGTTATGTTACCCTCTATACACATATTGTGAGCCCTAAGCGGTGTAGATGATCAGGGTGGTAGGCCTACGTGTAGAGTGTAGGTGTGAAATCTCACCAGTGCCTGTGAAAGTGCTCGAGTGGCGCTCCAGCCTGAGGACTTTCCTAGATACTGGATAGATAGCCAGAGACCAGAGGTGTGAAATTTGACCAACACTTTGATACTGATCGTGCAGTCAGCCGACTAAAAAGTTCCTCAGACTCAGATCGTTGTTTAACGAGAGGGGTGGCATTGGTTGACTGATTGTGCTGATTACAATGATGGCCGTGGGCAAGACGCTCAGATAGTGTGTCCCCGTGGTTTATGCACCCCGCATAATTTAGCATAATTTGATCATTTTAAGCATAATTTATATTCTGATTATTTTCCTTTATCATCCTTTTTTAAGATTAACATAATCGCATAATTTCACATTTTTTGGGCTATCAGTTTGCATAATTTCAAAATTTTTCTTGCTTACAACGACGGGGACAGGATAGCGGGTGAAGCTAAGGGTAGAAGCAAGAAGAAGTTCAATCGTTTCTACTCTTAATAGGTAAAGTAGTGGTTCAGTGAGATGCAAGCAGTGGTGGCAATAGATAAGTAAAGTAGGTCTAGGATTGGCGCATGCCGTTATCTGAGACGCTATGATAGTGATAGCACTAATTAGAGGTGTGAAGTTTTTTTGTTTTTTTTTAACCGTTGCTTGATGCTTGCCATGCATACCTGGCCGGGCAAGTGACCTTTATCCAACTGTCTGGGCTTCTGGAACCCTCCCTCTTCCCCCCCCCCCCCCTTAACCCCAAATGACTATTCCAAGTCACGTCACAGGCGAATTTTTTTCCCCGGTCCTCTTGCGATTCTGTCTTAGACAGGTTCTACAGTGATACAACACCGGCGTCTGTGGTCTGTCGTGTAACAGTTATAATTTAAGGCGCTTAATATACATTTGATAAAATATAAGTAATTGTTGATAAAATACAAGTAATTGTTGTTGTACCTGAGTTTGATTCCCGAGTGGTAATAAAATTTTATCGAGTATCTCGGTCTTTCTGTTGGAATGTTGTATCCTTCTCATTTCTCATCCCAACTGAAAGGCAGAATCGAAACCTCCTCGTTATTAATTATGTTAATTGAGACGTAAAATCACATGTAAATAAAAAATTTAAAACAAAACAAAAAGAATATAGACTAATGACAAAATCAAAATGTGTGTGCCGGGAAAAAAGGGTGGTGGAATACAGTGTTATCTTGCCCGTTTGTGAAACGTTTATTCCACGTAACAAATGAAGAAAAACAGACGAGGTGTGAAAAAATTATATACAATATATAATTTTTTTAAATTATATATATATTCATATATATATATATATATATATATATATATATATATGTATATATACATATATATATATATATATATAATATATATAATTTAGTGACTCCATAATTAAAATTATTGCAAGTGCCGTAAAACTCTTTACTAAACTAACATAATTAAAATTAATGGTGCTAGACAAAAGCAGCAATGAACTTACATGTGTGAAAAAGCATAGATCTACAATTTTAACTTCTTACAACTTACAGAGGTTATAAATAGATTTGGGTTATCTTTCGTTAATGTTATAAATTGTTTGAATAAAGCGAGATGCAGTGACAAGTGTTGGAGAAATAGCAAGATATAATACAGACATAACAACAGGAAAGGGAGGGGGGGGGGAGAAAAAAGAAAGTGTTAAAGACAGTAGGGTTGACTCTCCTGCATGCCTGCAGGCCTTGGCTTCCTCCTATCTGCAAGCTATACTTTTTACCTTAGAACTGCAGTCACTCCAGGTTCAATCAAATCAACTAGAGGGACCACATAGCATAGTTAAAACTGTTCTTTATTAAGTGGGAACAAGTTCTATGGAATTGCTAAATCATAGTTGGCTCTACTATAATATTACAAAAACACATAGATATATAGGCCTATATATGTAGGCTACATAATATCATCGTCATCCGGTGCCTTGCCGACTGGCGTGGGCGATCATGGACCTCCACTTCACTCTGTCTTGCGTTGCAGGGATGGTGTCTGTCAGTCTTGCTGTTCCTAGCAATGTTGTCATCTTGTCAAGTATCTTTTCCTTCTGTCAGCCTCTGCATCTCTTTCCATCAAACCTGCCTGTTGTTACAATTCTCCCCAATGCTTCTTTCCACATGTATGTATACAAAACTATACATGTATGTTTATTATATATTTTAAAACTATTTCACTCACACACACAGAGATACACATACAATGTTATAGTAATAGGTGTACCAAATAATATTTTAAATCATGTACCACCTCTGGTGTAGTCAGCATATCATATTGGCGTTTCCCCGTGGCCTGCAGAAGCCAGTTTAGCCAGGAGTAATTGATTTTAGTGTAACAAAAATTGTTGTCGAGTATCGATCTCTGTCTTATCTGTTGGGATGTTGTATTTGTATCTTTCTCAGCCCGAGTTGGCCCTGACTTACTTCTGTGTGTAGAAGCAGATTGCCTCCTAAATCTTAAATGAATGATCGACATGTGTCAATAGGGGCGTAAAACGTCTCTATGACAGAATTTTTCAAATATAGTTTTATACTAATATAATACACATAAGCTCTATAAGATATGTAGGCTATGTATTTAAAAAATCAGAGAGAGAGAGAGAGAGAGAGAGAGAGAGAGAGAGAGAGAGAGAGAGAGAGAGAGAGATCGCAACAGAACCAAAGCATGATTATCATTTTCAGTTTTTATTAGAAAAATGAATAAAGTATATTTATATACATATATATACATGACAGTATATAATGATGTATTTCACAGTAAATTACAATGTAAGGATGATGCATAATACCATGCAACAGCTAGTGAGCAATTGATCAAAACCACCAGACAAATAGACAAGAACCAAGACATTTTTACATCATATTATATGTACATGACATAGATTACACTACGTGGTGACAGAAATTATAGCAACACTTTGTCTAATACGATCTGCTTCAGTGATATCCATGTCTTTTGAAGAGTACAGTCACAATACAACAACTCAATAACACAACAATGAAGGTGCAGTCAAAACCATCAGGCAGACAGACAAACACATAATATAATAGATATGAACCTACATGGTACAGATATGCACAGAACACATTGTCACATAAACCTTAGCATCATGACTTCAAGTAATCATTGGAATGTACACATGCATTTTTTTGTCTTTCATAGATGACATTGTGATACAAATGTATGTAAACATGATACATTTTATACACAGAATACACAGCACTGAGTGTGCAATCTTTTTAATGTGACGGACAGTTTGTTCTATAATTTTAATGCAAACTTAAACTAGTTATTAACGACATCAGCAACTATTTTTATGGATGCAGTTGTCTGTGAATAGTCTGTTCATATTTTATGCAAACTCAGTCATTAATGACATAAGCAGCTATTTATGGATGCAGTTGTCTGCAAATAGTCTGTTCAAATTTTTGTGCAAACTTAGTCAGAAGTGACATCAGCAACTATTTTTGGATGCAGTTGTCTGTGAACAGTCTGTTCATATTTTATGCAAACTCGGTCATAAGTGACATTAGCAACTATTTATGGATGCAGTGGTCTGCTATGAACAGTCTGTTCATATTTTATGCAAACTCAGTCATTAGTGATATCAGCAACTATTAATGGATGCAGTTGTCTGATACTCAAAACTTATTAGTCAGAGCATTTTTACATGAACTTGCATGGACCATATTTTATATACACTTGTATACTGATAATCTCTCTGTTTAAAAAAAAAAAAAATCTCATTGCCCCTAGCACCTAATTCCACAACATTTAAGTTTCTCAGCAACAAACAATAAATAGATTGTTTTCCTGGAAACAGATCAACAGTTACAGTTCAAAAAAAAATTAGCTTCTCCTTTCATTTGCCTTGCTTCTTGTATTAAAAGCAGGGGCTCGTTGGTCCACTACGTTGGATAATGAGTTGTTTCTCTTCCCTTCAACAGACTTTCTTGGCCTGAGTCTTCTTGCATAAGTATACCTGTTCTTTCCTGACACAGCGGCAGCCTGACGAGTTTCTCTTTTTCTCTTTTCCCTTTCTTCTCTTGCCTTTTTCCTCTTTTCGGCCTTCAGAGCATTTTGGTAATCCAGAAAAACACGATACCAGCCTCCTCTAAAACATGTACCATTGTCCAGCTTCTCCTGAAAATTTGTCTTCACATGCTGTATCAACTGGGAGTAGATTTCATCCTCAGTCAGAACAGGCAGATTCATTACTTTGAACCAACCAGAGAAAGAAACCCAGTCATTACCATCAAGTTGATTCGCCATTTCTTTTAATGTTTTCATTATGTCCTCAGTAGGGAGACCGAAGTTGTCATCAAAATGCTGAATGAGTTCCTTGTGATCCATGCCAGTTGATTGAGTCAAATCAAGAAGCTGTACCTAGACAAACAAAGATAAAAACAAAACACTGGTTGTTAATTTTGAACCTTGGTAGAGTTTTAAAGATATTTTCTAAGCTCTCAATATTTTACTTTTATTCTTTGGGACAATCTCCGCAACACCAAAGACATCAGTCAGATTTATCAAAGTTTAAAATTATAGAGAGGTTAACATGAGATCATGTGAAAAAATCAGGAATGGTAAGTCTTAAATTTCAGTTAAGCAAGGCTTGAACTCAGAACACATACTTGTTAGTGAACTTTAACTCTAGCTCCAGTCAAGTAGGCCTACTGATCCACGGACAATCACATCAAGAGACTGCTGGTCTGGATACCTTCCACCACCATTCCCATTTCTACATAATAATAATAATAATAATAACAATAATATATAAGGCTAAGGGGATCTGCACAAATTCTAGAGGTACAATTTATTATAAACTATAATCTCGACATAGAATGAGTTTTTACCGGAGTCATATTTTCCCAAAGAACTTTGATACAATTATATGACTCCATATAAATAGCCTACTGCACATGCATGCACTAATCTATATATATATTATATCCTAAAATAAGACTTTCATTTAGTTTTGCGCTAAAAAGGCATTAATTAAATTGCTGTTAGTATCCATTTCATAATACACACTGCACATACCTAAGGTACACTAGCATGAAGAATAAAAAAAAGTAAGTTTTGCGTTTACTGAGAACCTTACAGGTAAAAGAAAAGAAGTAACAGATATAATATACTGTTTTTTGTGTTACCTGAAAGGCAAGAGCTTTGCGAAACGGCACTGTTGCCATTATTGTCAACTCAAAGCGTTCCTGTTGTTCAGTTGATTCAATGCCCAGGATGTAGTTACTGGAGACAAGCGAGTCTGTCCACACTCTCCACTGTTCATGTGAATAGATCTCGGACACATGATGCCACCTGAAATGATACCCCAAAAAATATTTGAAATGTAGGCCTACTACATTTTTTTATTGAGAGCACAGCTGTCCTTTGCTCTCATCATACCGGTAATATGTTTTTGTACAAAAGTCAGTGAATTCACCATCGAAGCACTGCAGGTCCACCAAGGTAACAGAAATCACAATTCTGCATTCTAAAATTGCCTAGAGATGTATAAAACCTGAAATAAGTTTTTAGTCTTCTTTGAAGGGCCCAATCAACTGGATGTTTCAATTGCTAAAAATACAACACTGGTATAGTAAAAAACCCATTTTAAGATTATCTGGGGGCACAAATTAAAATCTAACAAAACAACTAGCATTCATGGAACAAGGTATTGATGACATGATTATACTGCAGTAAATTTTTTTCTCCAAAATTTAAAAAAAAAGTCCAAAGGAATTTCAAAAGAATCTGGACCCAAATTAGAGCGAACAAAAATACAAGCAGAAAGGTTATGGAACCAAGGTAAAATTGAGAAAAAAGATAGGTGCTAATAGTAATAGAGTTCATGCAAGCTATTAATTATAATAAAATAAAAATTTGTAAGAGTAACAGGTTGTATCTAGGCTCATCTTGATGAGATCATGATCATGAACACATTTCAATATTTGTAGAGAGGCAATGGTACCATGACTCACTTGTATACTTTAGAAAAGCTCAACAGCATCAGCAAACTTGACAGACCAGAAGCATCCATTTGCCTCCTGGATCCAGAATCCTCTATAAATGCCTTTATCTTTCCTTCAATAGCACCTTGGAGATCTGGATATGTGTCCAGCGCCCACAGGAAGAGTCTGTACAGTGCAAAGAAACCCTGACAGTAAGTCTCAGCTCTGTTGCCGCAGAACTCAAGTAAAGTTGTAGTCAAGAGGTTAGGTAAGGTCTTGAGAACAATTTCTGTGATTGGAGTTTCTTTCCCATTTGGTAAAGACATCAGTGGCAGCGTTGAGAGCTGTTGCATTGTCTTCTCAAACTCGTCCTGGAAACAAATAAAACACAACTCAAATACTATGGAAATAAAAGGCAAATGGGACATAAAACAAAATTTTGAACACAAAAGTTAAAAATTTTATTTGGTAGGATATGTTGGCTATAGCACATTTGGAACTTGTGTGAAAAGAAAAAAATCTGAGTATTAATAATAACAATATTTAAATGTGTGTGTATCATAGCGTGTGTAGGTGTGTGTAATGACTGAGAGTGAAATTAGAGAAAGGGAGAGAGAGAGAGAGAGAGCGAGAGAGAGAGAGAGAGAGAGAGAGAGAGAGAGAGAGAGAGAGCAGCTGCATGTTGAAAAATGTCTTTTTTTCCCTATAGCAATAGTAAAATTAATTTAATTTCTTCTACTGATTCCAATTGTTTTATTATGAACATTAACTTCACAGTGCTGAGCCCTCAGGAAAAATTAATCTGAAAGTGGATACTCATATCTTGGTATCCTTAAATTTTCTACAAATTGTATGCACAATTCGTAGTCATCTAGAAAAGTGCATTAATTAGTTTAAATTTCTCCACCTCAACACAAGTAGTGTGTATACGATTGGTGAAATAAAAAAATAATACATTGTACATTTATAATGACATAAAAGCATACACAGGAGATCATACATATTATGATGATGTACCTTGATATGAGCACCATGTGAAGGCTGCATGTGAAGAGGTAAGAATACACAGAGGAGCTCCTTCCAGACGCTGTGCACCTCACCCACAGAATTCTGCATGGCATAAAATGAACGAGCTGAAAGAAATTCACAAGGGGTCTTCAAATTAGTCACGGCATCTTTGTCTTGATTGAAATATAGACCAAATCCAAAGAGATCATCAGAACATGATGGCTCCTGAAAGAAGTTCAATTCCTCTTTGGATATGTAGTCAACGATTTGTGGACAGTCTGATGAGTTGTCTGACATTTCAACATCCATGTCAAGACAGGAATCATCTCTCCTGAGCTGTAGTAAATCATCCTTGACCAAGCAAGTATCATCATCCATTATATCAATGTCCTTGCCTGATTCACATGCAGGAATATCCTGCAATAAAGGCGGCTGGATTCCAATTTCCTCGACTTTAGCAGGGCCATCACAGTCTTCCATTTCCGTCTCTTTGACATGATCATCACCACATTCTACAGGTCTTTCATGACACGACTCTTCTTCCCAGAAACCAGGAAATGGGCTCTCAAAAGTGTGACCACAATCCTCACATTTGAAACATTGGGCTATCTTCAAGTTATGTGCATATACCCCACAATTGAAAGTGAAAGCACGGGTTTCGAGTAGAAAAGACACCACATTCATCAGCATAGTTTGCACAGTATAACTGGGAGACCAACCCATTCCTTTTGTACGTTTCCAGTCAGTGTGAATATCTGTATAGTCATTGAACATGGCCAAACAAATCTGAGTGCCTTTTTTCCCTGGCCTTGATGCTCCTTGGTTGTAGCTATACCCAACAGGCATGAACTCCGCGTTTGGAGCTGTGTAAGGGTAATTGTCAGGAAAGAACAAGATCATATGAAGGATGATATCATCTTGGCGAATATTACAATGCCACTCGAACATGTTATCTTCCAGCGGAGTGGCAGCGACATTGGGAACTGGGTTTTTCTGTAACTCTTTCAGATCAAACATAAGTCTTTTAAGAGCATCTCGCTGGTGGATTGCAGTCTGAATTTCAGCCATTCTGCCACACGTGGACTAAATTCCGTCTACAATTTCACACAGCAAAATGAAAAGAGAAGAGGAATGACTCTTCTGGACAGTTCGAAAAAAATCACAGATTAAGATATCCCCAACTCGTACCACAGTGAGCACTGCTACACTAACCCTGTTGAATCTCTGAAAATGTCTACTTTCTGCTGACTGTTGATAAACGAAAGTCACTTTATAAACAAGCGGATTTTACTTCGCGGAAAACAATTTAGTTTCCGATACTATTATTGAAATGTCTGGAAATACCCGGGTTAGATACTAAAAATAGATATTTCCGCGAAGCATTAAATAATTTATTGTTGGTGGCTGTTGGCCATTGTAATTTTAAAAAGTATATTATGAGATAGAACAATAATACTTGCCGTGTCATTCATCTATTTTTTCATTTGTATAACGGAAAAAATAATTTGAAATATATACACATAAGGCCCATTTTTGGGGGTCTAAACAAAGAAACTTGTTCCGAAGCACAGCCGCTCGCGGATTTCTCCAGCTCAGTTTTTTTTTTTTTTTACAAAGCAAAACTGTTAGTCAGACTGTTTATTTTTTCTAGAGCCTAGAGTAATTGAATGATATGGAAGAGATAAAAAGCCCGAATAGTAATCAACAAAAGTCTATAAATGGAGGTCTTAAAAAATGTCTTCAAGAATTTCAATGTCCATGCTAGGACCGGTCAATACAAGCTGCTTATCTATAGAACAGCTCTCCTCGGCTGATCCACTCATAGGAATCTGTCTTCGCGGAAAAATAGATTCGGAGAAAAAAGAACTCATTTTCTAAAAATATTACATTGTTGTTGTCGCTCCGCGAAGCGTTCTTGATCAATAAAACCGAGTTAAATCTAGGCCTACAGGAAGAAAGGACACGCGCCATAGTTTTATGCTCACCCTAACAGATTATAAAAGCGGTGTGGGTTTGTTTCTGTATCAAAATTGTATTGCCAGTCGTAAGCGATAGAGGCCAACACAAGTTTTGCACTTGTCTATGCATGTTTATTAGAAGAAGTTTGTGCGTCTACGGTACGACTTTGGTTTTATATTTTTATGCACTCAACAGACTTTCACGTCCAAGTTGATCATTATTTTAGAATTTAATTTTCACTAGGCTTCCAAGCAGCACAGAATATAGACTCTAGCTTTCTAATTGATTTTTAGTACGGACGATTGTTTGTTTCATCATGCAAGATTGACGAAACAGCACTTCAATTGCAGCCAGCCTTTTTTTTCGTCCTCTCAAACGTTTTTATGTCTGCATTCTAGTTTGGTCAGTAATTTGCATAAATATATAATGTGTCTTATAACTGTTTTGTTCTTTTTTTGTTGATCATATTAAATCTCTCATCATGTCATTAATCGAATAGGTCTTATACTGTAAGCTCAAATTATGATATTCATAATAGCCTGCATTATATAACATGTACCTGTAACCCCCCACCTCTCTGTCTCTCTTCTCTGTCTCTCCTCTCTCTCTCTCTCTCTCTCTCTCTCTCTCTCTCTCTCTCTCTCTCTCTCCCTCCCCCCCTCTCTCTCTCTCAGCTTATTGTGCTAAATTTATATTAGTGATATTATATATCATGCTGGAAGATAGGAAAGATATGGTATGGATAACCTGGGTTCAAATCTCCTGTGGGGCATTCTTGAACTTTTGTTTCGAAGTTAGGGAGTTTTTAATGTTCTTCAGCTTCGTGGCTTGGTCAGGTCCTTGAGCAGAATTTTTATAATTTTAGAGGTCTGACCCTGTGATACCCTTATTATCTAAGTATTCTAAGGGAGCATTGAATTTTACAGTGTATTTGTTTTGTTTTTAACGCTGTTGTTCACAACATTGACAGTCTAGCATCATATATATTAAGTGAATCCTCATGTAAATCATCACAGATGATGGAATATTTAAGTCGATTTTGTCTAATTTGTCAAATTTGGGTTCGGTGATCTGCCCTGTGGGTGAGGTAGCTCTGGTGTGGTTTTCTCCTTAAAATATTTCCTATCAAGAATATATCTATCGTCCATCTCTCAAAACAATTACTAGGAAGAACCCCACTCATTCAGTATTTTAAAAGCAATACTTACTGAGATAATTTTCATCTTCAATCCTTGAAACACCACTGGGTTCTTTAAAAATTTGTTTCACTTTACTAACAACATGATAATTAGTTATTGTTTTTCTAAATTTTGTTTCATAATGACTTTTTCAGGTTGATGAGATAGTCACAAGAGAACTGCTGACGTAATCTCACTACAGTGAGTAACCTTCACCGAGAGATCACATCTTTAAAGAAACACTTTTCAACTGAACGTCTAACACTCAAGTGTTGTGGATCACCACATTTTGTCACAGCTATGGCAGCCAAGAATAAAAAGGCCATACAAAGGCTTATGTTTGATCAGGAGGAACTAAGGAAAGCTCCTGTAGCAAACGTCTCGGCAGCCCCCCTTGATGAGAATATGTTTGAATGGCACTGCAATATTCGTCAAGATGACATCATCTTCCACTTGATTTTATTTTTCCCTCAGAATTACCCGTACAGTTCTCCTAGTGCAGAGTTTGTTCCTGTGGGTTTTAATTATTCAAGTGGAGCAACGAAACCAGGAAAAAAAGGGACAAAAATCTGTTTGAATATTTTCTCTGATTTTGCGGACATTCACACTGAGTGGAAAGGCCAGAAAGGGTTAGGATGGTCCCCAGGCTACACAGTGCAGATGGTGCTAATGAATGTGGTAGCTTTCCTGGCTGAGACCCAAGACAATGGATCTTCGAGTCATTCATTCAAGCAAAATCTTAAATTGTCAAAAGAGTTCAAGTGTGAAGATTGTGGACACACTTATAGAACCCCACAGCCTTCATTAGATGATGAAACTGATAGTGGTGAGAGCAAAAAAGGAAAAGGAAAAGGTGCTAAGGGTAAAAAGGAAGGAGCTGCAACAGCCAAAGCTCAGCTAGCTGGAAAAGCTCAGGTGGCTGAGAAGGCATTTGATGCTGGGCCTGAAATAATTGACTACATTTCCAAAGAAAAGTTCAAGATAAAAAAGCCTTCAGGTGTGGATGATCTATTTGGCTATGGCCTTGCTGTGTCTGGGACCAATTGGCGTCCAGTCCTGACTTCTCCATGTGAGTTTATCACAGGCAGTTCCTTCTTTGGAATGAAAAAGGCAGTAAAAGTGGTTCACAGTGTCATGAAAGAAGAGCTGAAACTGTTCCTTCCATTGTATATTCATCCTATTCATGGTGCTGAAATCAAAGATGAATTTGAGAAAACTCTAAAAGAAGTTGCCGTGATCATGCCAAAACATGACCCCAATACTACACCTATCACAGACCTGGTGTTGAAGACTATCCCCAACCTGATGAGTGCGACAGTAGTGGAGTTCTCCAAAGGCACTCAACATACAAGTGACAACAGCCTTAATGGCTACTTCGCACTTCACCGGCTTCTGCTCTGGGCAGCTGACACATATCCTGAATTGCAGGATGCTATAGAGACCAAAGGTATGGAGCTTTTATTTATTTTAATCTTCAGACTATTCTTGTATTTCATAGACACATTGGCAGCACAAATTAGTTAATAGTGTAATTTTTTAACGATGGAACTATATATATTTGTTCCCTTTCAGCAGTTTTACTTTGAAGTTGAGTTTGAAAGGAGAATGTAAACAGAAAAACATCTTCCTTATAAGTAAAAAGTCCATTACAAAGAAAAAACCTAAATGATGCTTAATGATTGTCAGAGTCATGATGTGCAATTTTTATTTTTGTAATTTACCATTCTGTACAATGTATTTTATAATATACTTCTTCTAAATCATATATTTTACTCATAGCAAATTATTCACCATAGCTCAGTCTGGTCTCCTTCAGCACAATATTTTCATGAGGATTTCTCTATTTTTTAAAATTTGAAACTTAATTTGTGTACTGTATTTCATTGCATTTTGTAATGTCTCTTGTCTACACAGATTGTCACTCTTTATTTTACCGTAGGCCTACTGTTAACGACTATGTATGTTATGTTCATGGAACAGACTTGACCTTGAATCAATTGTTACTAAACTATTACTGTTCATATTGACTTTCTTTTCTTGGCTTTTGTCTGTAAATTGTACATTTTCAGCAAGGCAAAGAATTTAAGAGTGCTGATTTGAAATTAGTCAAACTTGCTCAAACGACCGCATGTCCAAGACAATCACCTATTCAAACGCCCACTTCCCATATGCCCCCTTGCGTCTTGTATATATTATTATGATGAAACTGTCCAAGAATTAATTAATTGGGCTTTTTTTCCTGTTCATTAATATTTTCTTTTCTTTTTTTATTATTATAGTGCAAGAGTATGTGGAAGATGAGAGGAACAGGACCAAGAGTAAAGTTCCATACATTGCTGAATGGCTCATGCTGGTGGCTGCTTCAAAGAAATACCGGTAAGATATCTTGTGGATCAACTAATGTCTTCAAATAATTTCATTTTGGACTGTGTTTGTTAACTTTTGTAAAGCAGTAAGTCGATTTTTTATGAAAGAATGTTTCTGCATGATGTGTGTCACAGTGTGTATGTGTCTGTGCTTGCTATTATTTGAGTGTGTACTTGTGTATGTGTGTGTGTGTGTGTTTGTGTGTGCACTCGTGTGTGTGCGTGTGGGTGTTTGTATGAGAGAAAGAGAGAGAGAAAGGGACTGGGGGAGGCTGAGCATATGTTGTATTTAAACTTTGAAAAAAGTTATGTAGGTGTTTTTAGATCATTTAGGAGGTGGCCCTCTCACCCTACTTGTAAAGGCCAACCTGGGCTGAGAGGGATACAACATTCCAATTCCAGCAGAGATCAGAGACTGAGATACTTGATAAAAAATCTCCCCACTTGGAAATTGAACTCAGGTCTCCAGCCTGCAACAGGGAAGTGCTTAACCACTACACCATAAACGCTGATGAAAATAGTTTGTTTTGATGCATTTGGGTATTATGATACAATGAGGTATAGGTTATAAAGCTGCAACCCTCCTAGTGTTGATGGCAGATGAAATCGGTTGTAAGTTTCATTCTGCGGTGTCGCTGCTGATTTAATCTAACCATAATTTGAGTTGCTATTTTAGTTCGCTTATCATGTTGTTTTTTTTACACCGAACATTTCAGCTCCTTCACAAATGAGCTCTCATTCCATATTTACATTCTATTTTCTGAAAATCTATAGATGTATGGTATTTACTTGCTTGGTTTGCCCGTTCTCAAGCATTTTGAATTTTCTTTTCTAACACAATATTGTGACGTCATATAATTTCCCCTGACACCACAGGATATTTCTTAGCAGCACTAATTGAAGAGTTGTATCCAATCCTTCTTCATGCTCATCTCAAGAGCCACTCTAATTTTTCCTCTTTTGTGAACTCATTTTTGTATTCTTTGTTTTTTGTTTTAGTAAGAGTTTTACGGCGCTCGCAACTGCATAAGGTCATATGAGCACGCTTTTTTTTTCTCCTAGGGTTTTTGTTTTGTTTTGTTTTTAATTGTGCCTTGCTTTGTTTTGAATTCTCTGCTTTCTGTACTGTCAGGTGGCAAGATGTGGCAGATGCCTATCTCAGTGAATCATGGAGACGCAACGTTATCTGGTATGTGAAAGCAGATGCAAAACTTGGCTTCCTGGATACGCCTCAAGACTACCGTATCCGGCGAACACTAGAGGAAACTGATATCGCTCGAAAGCATCTGGCATTTCAAGTCCGCTTTTTGGACATTGCCATGCCTGCCAAAATGTCTCGGGATGAGGTGATCAAACGCTATGACAACAATTTTGGTTTCCCAACGAAAGAGATGGTGGATGAGCTCAAAGATGCATTTGTCAAGATCAACAATGAAATGAAGACATATCAAGACTGGTTCAAGATCCTTAAACTGCCTGTTCTTACTGATAAACAAGTGTTTGATGTTCTGGTTGAGGCAGTGAAGTTCTCTATTGTAAGGCCAGGTTATTTCTGGAGCTCTGCCAAGACAGGGGGTGGATGGGCCCAAGTGTTTGAGAAGTATGCAGATATGAGAAGAGAATCGTTTGAGAAGTACAAGAAAGAGAAGGAAGAAAGGGAAAAGGCAGCCAAAAAAGAGGATGGAGGAGCAGAGGGGGATAAGGAGGAAGAGAGTAGTGAAGGAAAAGGTGCTAGTGGAAAGGGAAGAAGAGGAGGAGGCAGGGGTGCTGCACGGGGAGGGAGGGGAACAGCAAGGGGGGGCAGAGGAGCTTCAGCAAGAGGGGGGAAGGGAGCTGGGAGGGGACGTAAACGAAAAAGCAGCAGCAGTGATGACGAGGACTGGGGTGGGTCAAAGAAAAGACGATAATTTGGTCCATGATGTGCCATTTTGAGTTTTATCTTCATGCTCATGAATAATTTATGTGTTTTGTGTTTCCTTTTTAGGGATTGTGTAGCATTAAGTTGATCACGGCTTTAATGAAAACAATTATTTATTAAGTCTACCCTGTTCTTATTTTTTTAAAATCATTGTTTGACTTTATTGTCATATTGTCAATCTATTGTTTTATATATTTTGTGTACAATTAAGTGTATGATGCCATATATATATATTGAATAGTTTATTTTTACGTGGGGACGGGGCAGTTTAGCCCTCAGCTGTGATGTGGAGATACTCATTTTTCATAATAGTTAAGAGGAGGAGACAGTTTTCTGTGTCCAAAGTCAAAGCTATGAATCGATTTTATGGTAATGATGTATTTTATGTTTAACCCTATCCATACTTCGTGTTTTATTATCGTATCCATACGACGTGGGGAACTCTGTGGAACCACTTTCCAAAGAGGAAATTTACTCGTTAATCCGATCTCTATGCTTTTCATAGCAGTCTGTCAAAATGATTTTTTTAGAAATATTGAAAGTTTCAAAGAGATCTTCATACCAGAAGTTTTCTAAAATGTGAAGAATACAACCCCGGGGGTACAAAATGACCCCAGGGGGTACGGATAGGGTTAAAATGAAATTATCCAGTTTGCTGTGATGTGTAAAAATCCTTTTCTAATTTGCCATGTATTCATTTTCTATGATTAGTCTTGTGCTGTGTTCAGCTGTTTCTTCTATGAATAGTATCTCTCTCTGTATATATACAACCATTTTAACAAGATATATTTTTAAAAAATCGGCCCAACAACTAACATTTTTAAAAATAATTTTGGTGTCCTGCTTTGATGCCAATATTTGTAAGTTATACTGTCCTTAGCATTTTTGCTTTATGTTTGCAAAATTTTGTGTTCTAATTCTACTAATGGGGTCTCATAGATGAGGAGGTGAATTAAAGGTTTGTTTTAGATTTTTATACCAAACGGCTCCAATCTGAACTTCTTGGAATTGGCCAGAGGACTATAGTTTTTCTTTTGAAGTCTTGGTAATTTTTCTCTTCGTCAAGACTACTTCACATTTTTGTTGCCTCTACTGGATATGAACTCTTATTTATCCTGCTTGACCTACTTGAACTCATAGGATTTGTTTTATCTAAAGAATGTGTAATATATCGTCGGTGTTACAAGCAATCCACTTAGATCTTAGTCTGTTTAAGTACTATTTACTCCGGAGGCCAAAAAATATATTTTAAAAAATTGTTCCTTTCAGGAATCTTGAAAAGCAAGAAAATATTGACCATAGCATTACACTGCATTTTGATGTTGAAAGGTGCATCTTTGCGATAGAGATTTGGGAGGGTGTAAAAATAAAAAATTCTCAATATTTGGACTTAAGTGGAATACTTGTGCCAGCGACGATATGCAGAAAATATTACGCAAAAAGATTAATCGAGTTAATTTTTTGGTATAACAATCTTCCTTGACCCAAAGTTCATATTTGCTTTTTTAATTTCTGATTTCAATGTTTATGCTTAATGCTTGTCATGTAATGACCTTGAGATCATTGAGGGTACATAATATGTTTAATTTTAATGCATTAGGGAAACCTGTCATTGCCCATTAGTGTTATATTAACCACAATGCTTCTCAATACATTATTGGAAACCAATTTAGAAATGACATGGTAAAATTTGGCAGCTCTTAATATCTTGAAACGTACGAATTAAGGAAACCCTCGAGATAAAATTGGCAATTTCCATAAATAAATGAACGGTTCATCTTGAAGATTATATGTACCGTATATTAAGATATATTATGCATGGATATTAAATATAATACATGTGTATGCATGTTTTCAGTAATCTATTATTGTAAAAAATGTACATGATGGTGTGTGATTAGCTAACTTGACCAGAGCAAAATGAATTTGTGCCTGTGATCATGTAGTTTTTTAAATAATAAAAATGTTTCATTTGACCACGCCTATTGCCCTCAACTGCTTTATGTTCACTGTGTCCAGTGTCAGCCATCTTGTCTATGTGCTGTTGAAAGTTACCTGTGTGTTATCTTCATCACTATGCATGTCATTGAACTTAAAGTTAAAGATAACCTGAGCTGGAAGTGGACTGAAGTGGACAGGTCAAACCACACATCCTCCTCTTGAGAGCTGAAAGTGCCCCCTACGGTTAATCTTCAAAGTGTCATAGTAATAATTCTAATGTCATAGAATTGTTCATTCAATGGAAGTGGAAATGACTGGTGCCTGTGGTGTAGTTGTAAGACTCTTTACTGTTGCATGTAGATGACATGAGTTCGATTCCTGAGTGGCAACGATATTTTATCAAGTAGGCTTCCTTCCTGTCTGGCACAGACAGGATCGAAATAGTCCGTCATTGAAATTGAAATTATCTAAATTGTGTCGATGAGGCGTAGGGCATTTAAAATCATAGATTAAATTTGTGTTTTAACTAAGGAGGGGGGGGGGGGGTGCCTGTGAAAATACGACACAGAGGGATCCAGATTTGGTCTTAAAATTATATTTTTGCTTGTGATTGTTGGTATCACCTTCCTCTAACCATTGCTTGCAAAGTGCTGAGACACTCACTGTCTGACCGCCTCGCTAAGCGTGTTATCTTCTGTATGATACATGGTGTAGGCCTCTATAGACATAAATATAATCTCATACAGTTACAGGCCGGCAGGCACGCCTCTTGCTTGATGTGCATTGTTTCCAAATGTTGTGGAGATGTCCGTGGGTGGTTTGAGGGTCGTGCCACTTGTAGGTTCTTAGTCTACTTTTTTATCCTCCCTTTTTTGTTTCTGTCTGCATTGCTTTCCCTGCACAATGTGACCGTTATATAGTAGGCTAACAATTTCAACAATTCTTAAACATTTGTTGAGTTTGATTTTAAAAAAAGTAGATCTTGTACTCGGTGAGTTAGAAAAAAGAGCACCTTCTTACGATTACGATTCTGATAATTATGTGCAAGGAAATAAAATACATGTACATGTATGAGAATGATAGACAAACAAAATTAACAGACAGTAATAGACACAATCTATAAGTAGCGCCCTGATATTCCCAATAGTCGCCAAGGAAGCGGTCATGGACATTACGTAAGAGTCAAGACGGTGGAAAAGGACATGAAACATTTGAGTTACTGTGCTGCAAGTGCAAGGCGTTTGTGGAACCCAAAAGAGAATAATAATTGTTTCAATACCGTGCATAATATATACATCATGTATAATATGAAAGACTCTGAGCTTAAAGTGCGGGTGCTCAAAGGACCCCGGGCCAGTGGTTGATACGTCTAACATACGTCTGTTCTTTTCCTCCTGTTTCTGTCTGTCTTGCTTCAAATCTTCCCTGCACACTATTTGACCGTCACTGTGTTGATGTGTTTATTCTTTTTACTAAAACTCAAATAAAGAACTAAAAGCAAACGAGCGACCTCTCACAAACAAGGAGAACGTGAAACAGTTCGACCAGATACAGAAAAGAGGCATGAGCGGCGTGGAATCGTTCATTTTTGAAGAAGCGGTCCCTGGGGACCCAGAAGAATTTTGAAGAAAGTGTGTGTGTATGGAGGGCAAGAGGCTTGAGAAGTAAAAATATATTCTTATAATAACCTGCTAGGTTAGATACATGGCGTTCGAGAGAACTCATGCTTTCAGACGGTGTTGTCAGTAAGACGAAACCCCGATAAATGTACACATGCAATGTTTTGTTGGAAGTGTTAATCATAATGAAGTTAGGCCGTAAACTCCAACGCATTATATGAAAGCATCATGCAAATATATTCCAGTCTTTTACTTTAACATTCTTTCATCTTTCCATTATATCTAGATCTATATCATAATATATGCTCAGTTTAAGTTTAAGCCAAATTTACACTGTGAACATAGCTGTTGTTAGACCCCCTCCCC